TGTGCCCCTACATTTCTCCTTAAGAATCAGCAAGAAAAAGCTGCAGACTTTTCTTCTACACTAATCAGATCTCGTAAAGAAAAATCAACCTCTGATTTTGGCCACAAGATATTTTACCATATTGAAATATATGTATATATATGTTTATATGGATAAATATTAAATATGTTTTATTTAGATGTATAAAGATGGCTTCATTTTTAATTTTTATCTTTTCCATCCTAAATACTTATTTGGTGAGCTTTTTGTGGCCCTGGGTGCAGTTCCTTGGTGTGTTAGTGTTTTCATTGCTGCATCTGGACCAGTGTGAGGCTACCAAATAATTTCAGAAATGTAAATGAGTCCTTTGTTAGAACCTGAAATAGAAAATTTCCCTAAGGGCAGGGCTAGATGATTTACTCTTTTTTTTTTTTTTTTTTTTTTTTTTTTTTTTTTTTTTTTTTTTTTTGTAGGTACTGTCATACAATTGTAATTGTAGCTCTATGTACTAGAATGTTTGGGCACGATTCCAATTTCCCATAAAGTCAGTGTCAAATAATTTTTTTTTTTTTTTCAATTGGAAATTGCTCAAATCATGATGGTTTCTGTCTGAAAAGAGACAAAAGGCTTATTTTGCATAGGCCACAAAACAGATGTTGATAATGTTTGGTTACCACCAGTCTTGTCTGGACTTCAAACAGATGACCTGGAAGTGAAAGGTCTTATATCTCATTAATAATAATACAAGCTGTCAAATGCTCATGACCTAGCGAAGGGCAGTAAGTCAATACGCTCAGCACACTACCAGAAAGTCTGGATAGAGCGTGTATCACATTTAGTCTTTAAGCTAACAAGGATTAGTTAGCTACGGTGGCTTGGGTGGATGATCATGTTTATGAGAAATAGTAATGCTATTTTCTAGAATGATTTCTATACTGAAGTCGCTAAAAGTTGAGGCAGTGCTAGGCTGCTTTTCATAAATTTTCCTGGCACATTTGTATTGTCAGGGGGGGTTCCCTCCATCTGGAGACATCTGTCCAAGAAGAAAGGAAGATTCTGCAGTAAAAGTTAAGGTACATTAAGACTGAGACTCATTAAAGGCTCACTAAATTTGGTGGTTTTCCTTGGGCTTATTCGGATGAATTGCTCAGTCTCTATAGAATGGAGAGAGTAATATGCATTTATTCTTGTAAGGGTGCTTTGAGGCTGTAATTCTCCATTGCTTACAAGAAAGTCATATTCTGAGTTGATTGAGCCCATGCAAGTAACCAGACAGATGCCCACCAAAGCCTTCTGACTTCCTAAAATAGTCCAAAGCCTTACATCTTTGTATCTTTATTTCCTTTCTTCTTTACTAGAAACTTCTTTTTAGAGTGTAGCAAAAGACTTCGTCAGGGCTCTTGTGCTTGGCTGGGTCTATTTGCTAGTGCCACCAGCCATATGACTTGTACAGAACGTGCAGGCTAAATTCTGCTCTCAGATGTGCACAAACAACTCTCAGCAAAACATCTGCAACTCCACGACAAAGAGAATGTATTTATAAAAGTAAAATACATAAAACATAAATGATTCAATGCTTATCTGCTTTCTGTGATCTATTTTTGTGCAGATGTTCTTTTTAATAAATATTAATTACCTATTAAAACACGTTTCCCTTTGAGAATACTAACTTTTCATATTAGAATACATCTGTATATTTTTCATTTTGACAAAAAAAATCATCAATAGTAAGAAGACAAACTTATTAGCTAGCAAACTTGCATTTTCAGGCTCTTAAGAGAAAAGGTAAGCATGTGAGAGCTCTGCTGGAGCATTAGAAAATAGAAATGAAAAAGAAGGAAGAGTTAGTAATATCAAGTCACTATACTGGATTTGGTTGTATTAATCACAGGTTCACAATAAATTAGAAAACTGTTAGAATAGACTGGGCTATCTCAGTCATTAGTTCTAACAGAGAAGTGACTTGCCTCTTGAAGTGAACAGTCTGGGAAGTAAAGGAGATAAAACTGAAACAGAAAAACGTAAAACGTTTTAATACGTAAATGCTAAAACAAGAAAAACATCTTTTATAAAGTCGTTAAGCTGCAAGACAGGTAAAATACTGCTTCAGTTAAAAATCCTGATGCAAACTTAGAATTCATAATGCTAAGAATATAATAATATGAAATCTGATTTTTATATTTTATTAAAATGCTACTTAATATAATGAAATCTGACTAACTGCCATCAGAACATATGGAATACTAAGATTATATAATAAAAATATTCAGACTATAATTATCTAAAAAATTCTCCATCCCATATGTAATTTATCAAAGTGAACTTTACATTGATTTGTGCCACATGGTTGATGAAAAACTATAAAGAGTCTCTGGAACAAAAGGTATGTAGAAAGATAACTTTGTAAGAACAGTCTCAATCTGTTTCAGACTTTCCTTTTTTAGTTTTAACTTCATATATCAAAATATTGTAATATTTATATTCTTCTACTTAAAAGTTTTCTGAAACCTTAGAAGATGGCTTTTTAAAAGCTACCTTACTTTCCTGGAATAAACAATGTTAAATTGTTGTAGTTAAATGTGGGCAATCTTAAATCAATTTAAATCTAGTTTATAATGATTTTGTTTAATTCCTATCCCTTATTGAGGCAATCCAAATCATTATAAACCAAATTTGTATTGATTTTAACTTTAAAGGTAAACTGGGGGCATATCTGAATATAGAAATTCCTATGTGTCATTCCACTTTGTACATTAACTAGATAAAAATGATGTTGTGATGTACCATAACTTCATATACCTAAAAAAAAATTCAAGATCACGTTCACCAGATCAACATTAACTCCTCAGAATTAGGCAAGAGCAGGCTTTATTGGGACTTGCTCTTCAGATCCGACAGAGGTTGTTCTAAACTTCTTAGGCAGAAAACTCACTTTCCTTGCCTAATTATTCTCTTGATTTCAACTACTGATCTCAAGTTTCGGAGTCACAATGTACATACTGAAAACTGAGGAAAGCAGTGCTCTCTAAAGGCAAAACCACACAGGAAAACAGACAGGGTATGGAGATTGATTGGCAAAATCAATTATTGATTGACTGGCAAAAATTGCACAAGACTTATGATACTAGGTGTGACCATTAACTCTCAGCAATATTTCCACTTCAGAAATGAGCAACAGTTGAAGATGTAAGGTTGCAGTTAATCTGATGTAAAAGCAAGACTGTGGAAAGTAGGTTCTTTTTGGGAAATTCACGGTTTTTGGTACATTTATAGCACCAAGTTCATACCACCTCACCTGCCTTGGAAACACCTCGCTTCCCTTCTCACTGTTGATGGGGAAAAAAAAGAGTAATTGCTGACATTGGTGGGACTGTCAATACATGAAAAGTTAATTTGTTTCAATTTCTATCATTTGTCTTTTGCTAATACCTATGATATCTCCCAATTTATACAAACTGTAAAAGCAAAGGACTAGAACTACTGTTCTATGTCCTAAATGAGCAGGGAATGTCATCTGCGCAGTAAGATGCACATGCTTCACAGAAATACTTATGGAATCACTACAATAGAATAATAATAATAATAATAATAATAATAATAATAATAATTGTTTCAGAAGGATGTAGGTATGGGGATTGCTGATTTAACTGAACAGGCAGTCTTGGGGCATATCTGGGAGCTTCAGAGCTGACTGTGAGATTTTCCAGACTGGGCAAGAATTTTTGTGAGCGCTTCGATCTACTAATATATACTTGATTGCTTGTTGCAGCTCTTAAGCTATAGAAATGGTACACATTTTTAGCTGGAATCAGTGCTCTTAGACATGAGAACTTAGCCAAAACAATACCAAGTTTTCCCTTCTAAAGGAGAAAGGGATATTGATCAAATTATCCCAATAACAGCCCTACTTGCTTTATTGTTTTATTAACTTAAAATAACAGCGTTTCAGCAATAGTTAGCTGCAGATTGAGAAAGCACATTGACATACTATCTATGATAATCATATTCTGAAGGTTGCTCTCAAGTAAAAATATTTACTTCCCCTCTGCTCTAGTTTCAAAGTATGAGACTAAATTCCACTTAGCGTTTGTTTTTTAAACATCCGTTTATAATCTCTGCTACAAATTTCCACTATGGCATCAGAAGAAAATGCAAGAGCAAAGAAAGATAGCTATTTTAGAAATTCAATTATACTGAAAAAAATCCTCAGACATCACTAAGCTTCCCCTTAATCGAGTAACTTAATAAAGATATTCCTAAGTAAATTAACTTAAAAAAAAATCCATACTGCATTTCACAGTTCTCACATTTTTATCTCATCTGAGAGGAGATTGCATTTTCAACTTCCAGCATGCCTTTCTTTCCAGACTACTTCCCCAGGAAACACAATATTTCTTCAAGACAGAGCTTTAACAGAACATGCTGGAACCTGGATAAAACAGAGACCTCACTGCAGACCTTCACATGGGGAGAAAGGACAAGAGAGAATCTTTCATGAATGTTTCTACAGAAGATTCAATCCCCATTCATATTTCAACTAATGAAGCTCATACCTTGGTTACAGCCACATTCTTTTTTAGTCCCTATTTACAACAGGCATTATTTCTTCCCCTACTGGGCTGAAGTACACCACAGTGACAGCAGTGGGTGCCAGCAGGGGCACAGCCACAGTGACTCACAGAACACTGAATTGTGGAATTAAGTTCCCACTTCCATTTCAGCCAGAACTATTCCATAGTGGTTTTCAACAAAATCTTCAACAAAAAGTCATAGGCAGTAATAAGAGTACTGGTTATTTCTCACATCTCTGCAGAAAGATTGAGCAACAGGCACGTTTTGCAATCAGTTCCCCCAGTTCATAAAAGCAGGACATATTACATCTAGAACATAAATAACCTCTTCTCAGTGTAATCGTATACTTAGCTCTCAATATTAAGAGACTAACTGCAAAGGTTCAGAATTAACAAGTTACAAAAAGTCTTTTGACATTTATCCCAGTTGTAATGAAAAATCACATTTACCTGCAAGGTTGTCAATTTCCTTCTCTTGGAGTAGACTAACAGCATCATCATCTCCTTCCAGCATAAGCTCTGTTTCTGCATTCTGATTTACCACAGCTTGACTTCGGAAAGTTTTCTTGGATTTTACTACATCTTCTTCAGTGCCTAAGAAAAGTTGTAGATGTTATGAATATAGCTGAATAATGTTCAGAACAATTTAAGTCAAGTAGTAAAAAATAAAGCATAAACCGTCTGTATCAAAAAAAAGGGAAGGAACATTTTCTAAGACATCATCAAGGTCTAATAAAAACAACGCAGTCTTAGTCTGTGATCCAAAATATATTTTGAATACAACAGAAACTGTTTCACAAAGACTCTCCTGCTGCTAATAATTATTTTATTGCTTTATGTTCTATGTTTTGGCTTTCAACCTGCAAGAAATTCAGCAGAAATTTCTCTTCAGTTCCTGGTGTCCTCTGATTGACATCTCAGAGCTCAAATCACCTGCTCTTAGTAAGGGAGATGCTTTTGGGAATTCAAAATATCGGCCTTGGAAGACAGGAATGACAGGAAGGTGGGGTAGGAGACTGGTTATCTCAATTCACACTAACAAGGTAGGCTATATAAAGATTCAGAACACACATGCCTGGTGATGGAAGTCTGATATGTATTTGTGTGTTTTAAGGAGGACAATAAAACGTTTGTACATGGACATAGAATCACCAAGGTTGAAAAAGACCTCCAATATCATCCAGTCCAACCATGTGTGAATTTATAGAATCACAGAATCATAGAATGGCTTAGGTTGGAAGGGATCATAGACCCCTTTTATTACCAATACCCTGCTGTGAGCAGGGCTGCCACCCACCAGCTCAGGCTGCCCAAGGCCCCATCCAACTTGGCTTTGAGTATCTCCAGGGATGTGGCACCCTTAGCTTCTCTGGGCAATGTCTTGCAGTGTCTTATCACGCTCTGAGTATAGAATTTTTTCCTAACATCAAACCTAAATTTCCCCTCTTTTAGTTTAAAGTCATTCTCCCTTGTTCTATCAATATCTGACTGTGTAAAAGCTGGTCTCCCTCCTTTTTATACTCTCCCCTCAAGTACTAGAAGTTCTCAACGAGGTCTCCCTGGAGCCTTCTCTTCTCCAAGCCCATCTCCCTCAGTCTTTCTTCACAGAAGAGATAATCCAGCCCTCTGATAGCCTTTGTGGCCCTCCTCTGAACCCACTCCAACAAATCTTCATCTTTCTTATGCTGATGCAGGTGCTCCTGTTGGGGCCTCATGAGGGCGGAGCAGAAGGGGACAATCACAAGAAGGTTTTAGCTTTTCCTCTTGCCTACTACTGACTTTTTTTTTTTGCCTAGACTGATCATTCCTTAGGGCGGATGATATATCATCATGTGTTTTGGGAAGGTCCTACCAGTGCACCTCAGAGTTCACTGACATAATTTAGGAAATAAATCATAGTGTGGCCAATGATAGAATCATAGTTTTTGTTCTAGAACCGCCAGTAGCTTTCATGTACTGTTGTGACATCTACACAGTGTTTATTTATTTTTTTTGAGGAGAGGTCATCAGTTTTATTTTCAGTTCTACACACTCATAGTAGTCTTCAGGGTAGACAGCTTTCTCTTTTTCCACAATGCAAAAGCCTGCACCTTCACCTTGACCTGTATAAAATCTGAGCATCTTCAGTTATGCTGTAAGAAATAAAAAAAAGAAATCTAGTCTCTTGTCTATATCACAATTTGGAAATTTTCTTTCTACAAAGCTAGAGAAATAGGGGTGAAATCTGAGCAAAGCTGAATGAGCATGAATTTTGATAATCTTCCACAATGCCTGATCTTCACACAGAGAATATCACTATGGCAGATGTAAAATAATGAGGTAAAGCCCATTAAAACTCATGCCCTCGTATGCAAACAGGACAGCTAACTGGAACATAGTAAGCAGACAGATAATGAAGATACACGCATGGACCTGAAGTGATTTGCCCAGCAGTTTTGTTATTAAAAACAGTGGGGAAGGTGTTATAATTTTCTCTCTACTCTTACATGATTCTTTTAATTATTTCATACACAGGTGAGTTGCAGCAAATAAAAATACTGGAATACAGCGTCTTTACTCCTTTAGTATCTTTACTCTGAAGATCATTGTAAATATGCCACTTGACACTGAACACCACCACAAGCTGAGACAGTCTCCCATTTTAAATAGTCTAATATTAGCTTCCTGATTTCTATAATTCAAACTGCTATTCCTGAAACAACATGGTTAAGACACACAAGGAAGAAAAACAACTTTTTCTATAAGCCCCAAATTAAGGTCAATGTCTTTAGTCTTCCTACTTGTCACTCTCTCCATTAGCACTGTGCTGATACTCACATAGATAATACTGATGTCAGTATCTATATTGGTACACTGATATTTTTGCTGTGTTCAAAATAGGCTGTGATCTTTACCTCATTTATAAAGATTGCTATTTAGTGTAACAATCAGTAATTATTCACCCAATGTACAAATTAATTTTTTTTTTTTTTTTCCCTTAATTTATAAAAAGGAGCAAGAATTGGAATTCTGGAAAACACAAAGGAGTAATGTGCTGTAACAGACCTTCTAGTGAGTGTTATGAAAGTTTCTGTAATTTGTAAGAAGTGGTGATTTTCAAATGAAGTGCTCACAGAATTCTAATCTGGAATAATCATAGCATCAGTAATTTCTGTAGCAAATGATTAGATTAGTGACTATCCTTGAAATTATTTGTGCACAAAGAGATATTTTTAAAATTACTGGAAAAAAGTTCCAAGTCCCAAATGATTACTAGAATGCATCGGCAGAAGCACTTGAAATTTAGTGCATTTTAAATCTCTTGTGATGAGGGTTCCAGTAACCAGATTACAGAAGTATTGCCATACAGTCATGTATGCAGTGTGGTGGAGTAGGATGCATTATATTAGTTTGGCAAATTTGGAGCTTAGCAACAAGACAAATGCTTCTAAGATCCATTCTGGTTTATAATACCAAACATACATTTATCTGAAAAAAATATAGTAAATGGTGCTTCTTTCTCATGATGGAAAAGGCTCTGGTTTGGCTGTTGTTTAAATTTATCACTTTGCTGAGTGCGCCTCACTTTTGCTGTACTGTACTAAACATTTATCTAAATGAAAGTGCACAAGACCCAGAGTTGCCCTTCAATCACTATATCCTTTATGAATTAGAGTTCCATTTATCAAAATTACAGCAAGAAGAGTAGGGTCTCACAGGGCTGTCTCATTACAAGGCTTGTAAACACTGTCCTTACAAAGAAATGGTTTAACACCTAACAAATCAAAAACTGATTGGGAATAGAATTTATTTGAGATCATCTATCTTCAGAAGACGTGCTGTACTGAGTGCACTTCTTGGCCTTTCTACCCATTCATCAAGAAATTAACAAGCGAATACCACAGACCACCAGATCTCCTTGGATCCTGAAACGTGAAATATGTTCAAAACAGATCTGTCACAGATGTTCTATTTTTATATTTCAAGATGACTTCAAAAAGGCTTTAAAATAAGAAGAGCTCTCAAAATAAGAGTAAGAAGAAAAACAACTTGTCTCTTTAAAACCAGACAACAAACCGAATAAAATATTATATGACATAAAACTATGTCTAGTATTGTTAACAATGATATAAAAAGGAGTGATGAATAAATGAATATTTGATATTTCTACATGTTTGTAAAATTTAAAACTCAAATGATTTTTTTAAAGCCACAGCAAAGTTACTATTAGGTGAAATTCATTTCCAGATACTTCATTTAAAATTGCTCTTCAGACACAAGGAACTTCTAATTTAAAGACAAAATATGAAATTCTATCTCAATGTTAGTTCCTAAGTCTAATTATAAAATGATTCAAAGACATATTAAAATAGAAAAAAACAAAAGGAACTAGGTATAATTTGAAGAAATCACCATTCACAGAATCATAAAATGGTCTGGCTTGAAAAGGACCACCAAGATCATCTCGTTTCAACCTGCCTGCTATGTGCAGGGTTGCCAGTCACTAGACCAGGCTGTCCAGAGCCACATCCAGCCTGGCCTTGAATGCCTCCAGGGATGGGGCATCCACAACCTCTCTGGGCAAACAATGGGCCATACAGAACTGGAACAGAAAGATGTTATCAGTTGAATCAAGTTCCTTATTAAAATATGTTTTTCTAGGCTAGGGCTTAGAAAGAAACCTTGAAATAAGCAGCAAAGTATTTCTTAAAATAGCAATTTGCTAAGAACTTAGTGGAAATATGTCACTTGGCAGTCACGGAAGCACAGCTGAAGTTAGTGCTCTAATTTCTTGCAACTTGAAGGTCCTGCCTGAAAAGTACTTGGGAGAATGTAAAGACAAATACGATGGTTTTAAAAAAGAAACAACTTTTACAACACTTGTTATCTTCTGGATTGCTGCTAAAAATGGCTACCTACAGTAGCTTCACAATAACTAAAGTTCATCTTTAACATAAAGAAACCAACTATCGTTGATCTACAAAAGCCCAACTTCCATATTCTTAAAAGGTTTTATGAGCTGCACTGTAAACTTGCACAACATTGCCAGAGATTTACTAATCTCTCTTCACATGCCATTAATCTTCCTTAAAAAGTGAAAGAAATTAGCAAGCTGACCGAAAACCAAAACACAACAGAAATCTAATTGTTTCCCCAGAACATGAAGACCTGAAGTTATTTTGCAGCAACACCCCTAGAAACACCTTAAGTAGGCAATAAATAAATAAATAAATAAATAAATAAATAAATAATAATATCTGACTTTTTGCCTCTCAGTTAAATCAATACATTCTGTAGGTCACAACAGGTTCTAAAAATTTGAACTTCAAAGGCAGTGGAAGTGTCCAACCCTATAAACAGTGTTCCTAAATTAAATTTTAAAATAAGCAATACAAAGATACTGTTGATTACATTTCTGTTCATGTAAGTTTACTTCATTAGACTTTACCCTAATTACTATGATTTAGCTGAGCACAGGAAGGGACTCTCTGGTTCTCCCTTCAGTGCTGCGAATTTAATTATATTAAATATATTCAATATATTCAAATAGAACATTTTAATAGATCTTTTTTTCCTGCACATAGTGTAGAGTGAGGTAATAGCATGGTTAATTT